AGCGTTTTACCTCTCATCCACTTCCAAGTGGTCTCCAGTGCCCTCTCCCGGTTCCGATACGCTTTTTTCCCGCCTTTTTTCACCCGCGGGGGCGATCTCCGGCTGGGTTTTTTTTTGAACGTTCGATTTATAGCGTTATAGCGGTAAAACGGAATAGCATTATATCAATCCCATTGGAATGCATGGAGTGTTTTGTTATACTGCTATAGCGCTATAAATCGAATGTTTTTTTAAAAAAAATCGATCACCCACACGGGAGGAAAACAGCGGGAAAACAAAGCGGTGCAAGTCTAAAATGCCAAACCGCTTCTGATCCGGCACATTTCCGGTAGGGGCAAGCCCTGTGTGAAATGGCAGCCCTGTACCGGTTCACTTCAAAACGGATGATTGCCGACTTGAAACTGGGTGAAACTGGGTAATGTGAAATTCCCCACAGATTTTCCTGTACTTACTGTAGAGTACGTTACAGAGTTTAAGTGATAACGTTTATGGAATTTGAGAACTTCAGTATATTGAATTGATAGAATCCAGATGAAGAACTAAATCAGTGGAAATGAAGAATAGATTAGCGAGCCACATTTCAGATCCATTTATGAAACTGAGACCACTGAGAGGATACCCCTTCACCTCTTCCATAGTGCTGGAGCTACGATGGAAAAGGCCTGGGCTTTGGTCGATACCAAACGGGCCACGCTAAATGGTGGGACAGCCCACAGATGGTTGCCTGACAACCACAGTTGGGGCACCGGGCCATAAGGAAGGAAACGGACCTTCAGATATGTGCATACCAGGTCATGAAGGGCTTTAAAGGTCATAATTGGCACCTTGAATTGAACTCAGAAACAGACTGGCAGCCAATGTAGCTGGGTTGTCTTCAAGGGCAGCCCCACGTAGAGTGTATTGCAGTAATCTAGCTGTGAGGCTGCAGTAATCCAACCATGAGGTTACCTAAGACATTCATTTAAAATGAATTATCTCCCACATTGTACACATACAGTCAAATTTCAGTCCATAGCTTGGGTGAAAGTAACCTAGTGAAGCTGGCTATAAAGGATACTGCCCATCTTCTGGTTGCTCCTTGAAAGAAGCAGAATTTGTAAAAAAAAAAATTAACATTCAGCTCTGGCCCAGACTGAAATTTTTCCTACTTTTCCCATCAAGTGCATGGATCTTATGGTGCTTATCAAGGCTAACTCTCTGAATGAAGCTCTTTCCGCACTCGAAACACTCGTAGGGTTTCTCCCCTGTGTGGATTCTCTGGTGTCGATGTAGATTTGAATTGCTGCTGAATTGCCTCCCGCAGATGGGGCATTTGTGTGGCTTCTCTCCAGTGTGGATTCTCTGATGACGGTAAAGGACTGAACTGCACTGGAATGTTTTCCCACAGTCTGGGCACTCGTAGGGCTTCTCCCCTGTGTGAGTTCGCTGATGAATTATGAGTTTGGAGCTCGAGAGGAAGTATTTCCCACAGACCAAGCATTTGTGTGTTTTTCCTCCTGTGCTAGTCTTCTTCAAGACACTGGAGTTCTGACTCAAACTTTTCCCATAAGTTCTGCTGGAGGTTTGTTTTGTACTTGAGTTACTTCCCATTTGGACTGTGTTCTCAGTGTAGGCCTTGTAACTCCTCCCACGTGGAGTAGATTCATCCGCTTCTCCCACTGGGTGGATTTCCTGGTGGAACTCTGGTCCTTCCCAGCTCACTGAGGCGTTATCCTGCTCACACTGCCAGGATGGGGTCTCTTCTGCTTTCCACATCAACATCCTGCTTGGTCCTTCCAAATCTTCTGACGCATATTTCTTCCCCTCATCTCTGCTCATCCCTTCTTGGCCTGCTGGAGAAATCAGAGAGTCTAAATAATTACTTCCCCAGGCTAGAGTGAAATGGAATTTGAAAAACAGAGAAACAAAAGATGATCAAAACAGGAAGGTGATGTTCCCTTCAAATATCCCATTCACTGGAAGAAGCCAAACATCAGAGGAATGCCCAAAGCACAAATCGTAAATTCAAGAAAACACAAAAAAAGAGCAATTCGCATGTGGAATTCACTGCCACAGGAAGTGGTGGTGGCTACAAACACAGGCAGCTTCAAGAGGTGATTGGATAAACGTCTGAAATGGAGGTCCATCAGAGGCTCTTAGCTGCAAGGTATAGATAGAACACTCTGTCTGGGGCAAGTGATGCTCTGTATTCTTGGTGCTTGGGGGGGGCAACAGTGGGAGGGCTTCTGGAGCTCTGGCCCCACTGGTGGACCTCCTGATGGCACCTGGGTTTAGGCCACTGCGTGATACAAAGTGTTGGACAGGATGGGCCATTGGCCTGATCCAACATGGCTTCTCGTTCTTAGAACAGAAAGTTCAATTATCTTACTCTCCTTATCTTCTGTGGAAGACCTATGAAGGAGAAGTGACAGAGGCAAAGAAATATGACTTCTCTGCTGCCGTTGCACCAGCTAGTTCATGACCATCCCAGTTATTTAAAGTGTCTCGGCATCTGCTGACTCCTAAATCTGAACCTTTATTGCTGCAGGAACAAGTAATCATGATGCATTTTTTTATGATGAAACCTCTTCTGTACATTCTGGCTACATGCTAAAGGTGGCATAGCTCACACAGAAGAAACGTGTTAACACATCATCCGGTCCATTTAGGGACCATTTTGACCCACCCACCACAACGGATGTTGACAAGATGTTTCTTTATTTATTTGATTTCTACCCCGCCTTTCCCCCTGTAGCAGGCTCGGGGCAGCTTCCACAAACACTACACAGCTAAAACAAAACTAAGTAAAATCATGACAATACAAATATAAAACATTACAAAGCCAGGGGTCATTTTCTGCAGGAGCGGAGCTCCGGCAGTAAAGAGCCCAGGGGGCGGACACATGCAACAAGCCCTGCCCCCTGCTCCCAGCAGCCCTCAGTCAGAGCAAGAAGCAGCCAGGTAAGTTGCAGAGCTCCCCCCAGTCCCCCGGTCCAAGACAGTCCAGTGGCACCTTTAAGGCCAAGTTTTATTCAGGTACAAGCTTTCCCTCCTCTGCGAGGACAGATCTGCACGTCCCCTGTCCCCCCCCCCGCGCCAATTTGATAGCTAGCAATCCAAAACAGTCCAGTGGAGCCTGAGCGGTGGGTGTTGCCTTCTGACACAATTCCGGTGATGTCAGGGGGTGTGGCATATGCAAATGAGTTATGCTAATGAGCTCCTGCACTTCTTTTTCTACGAAATGACCCCGGGCTAGAGCTAAAAGGCCACCACTTCTGCTCTGGATCTTTTGTCCATCCTGATGACTGAAAACGTACAAGGACCACATCAACGACTCCTTGGTGTCCACCATAAATGGATCACTGACTCAGGGCACCTTCCCTTGGCCAAACAAAGAGGCAGTTATCCATCCACTACTTTGAAAACCATCCCTGCAGAAAAATGATGTGGCCTAATTGTCCGTTTCCAAGCTGCCCTTTCTGGGGGAAGGTGACTAAGAGCGCAGTGGCAGATGAACTCCAGGCCTCCCTAGATAACTCATCTGGAAATGGAGCTAGTAACTTTAATCCCAGCTGTTAAGTTTAAATGGCTGTGAGCCATTAAACTCTTTGGTTTTGCTCCTCCACCTTTGAAGTGGGAGGAAGCGAAAATGATGAGTTAAATGGCTAGCAGCCATTTAACCCTTCCTGGGCCTCCCCTCCCCCCTTTCTCCTGGCCCCAGTGAGCTGCAGCCAGGAAAAGGGGGGAACTGAACTTGCCGGACTGATTCAGGCCTGTTTGGGTCAGTTTGGCGGTTGGCCTGTGGGCCACCCCAAACCACCCTTTTTAGGTTTGTGCCCAGGGGTAATTTCCTGCAGGAGCGCACAGGAGTGGAGCTCTGGCAGTAAAGAGCCCAGGGGGGTGGGCACATGCAACAAGCCCCACCCCCTGCTCCCAGCAGCCCTCAGTCAGAGCAAGAAGCAGCCAGGTAAGCTGCAGAGCCCCCCCCCCAAAAAAAACAGTCCAGTGGCACCTTTAAGACCAAGTTTTATTCAGGTACAAGCTCTCCCTCCTCTGCGAGGGCAGATCTGCACGTCCCCCCCCCCAATAGCTAGCAATCCAAAACAGTTCAGTGGAGCCTGAGTGGTGGGTGTTGCCTTCTGACACACTTCCAGTGATGTCCGTAGGTTTTGGCACATGCAAATAAGTTGTGCTAATGTGTTATGCTATTGAGCTCCTGCACCTCTTTTTCCACAAAATGATCCCTGTTTGTGCCCATTCCTACCAACAACAGGGCATAGAGGCCGAGGCCTTCCCCTGATGTTGCCTTCTGGCTCTGCAATTCAGAGGCTTAGTGCCTCTGAATGGGGAGGTTCCCTTCACTCACCATGGCTCGTAGCCACTGATAGACATCTCCTTCATTAATCTATCTAATCCCCCTTTAAATATGTTTATTCCTGTGGCTGTCACTACATCCTCTGGCAACAAATTCCGTTCAGAAGCAGCTGCCTGAGTCACAGGACAATGCTTTGCTTGGAGCCTCCCAATGTTTTGTGAGACATCCCACTACATACACAATTAGGAATTTAGTTCTGTGCTACATATTCTTTCAGATTGCTGTTTCGCAGTGTCCCTGTTGAAGTGCTTTATTTCACTGCTTGACAGATTGACGTCCCCTTCTTCTTTGACAGATCTATACAAGCAACAAAGAGACTGAAAGAAAGATAAAGGTCCAGGCCCTGATGGTTTATCAGCAATGTAGTATAAGTGTTTGGAGGATTAATTAATTTTGCCGCTGCAAAAAGTGATGAATCAAATAAGTGAAAAGAAAACTATACCACAAACATGGCGGGAGGCACATATAACTTCGATTCATGTGGAAAGGAATGAGCCCATGTTACCAAACAAATGCCACCTTTTAATCACTCTCTGTGTAGCATTTCTTTTTGTCTGTCCTGAACCTACTGCCCCTCAACTTCATTGGATGCCCTTGTGTTCTGGTATGCCGCTGATCCCCATACCTCTGTCCAGGGCTTTTTTTGTAGAAAAAGCCCAGCAGGAACTCATTACCATAATAGGCCACACCCAACAGCAGAAACTCATTAGCATATTAGGTCACACCCTGACATCACATCTCATTAGCATATTAGGCCACACCCCCATGTTACCAGAAGGGTGGTCACCCAGCCACACCCACCTTTTGCTTCTTATTCTATTTACTTTGTTTATTGTCAAAACCCAGGGCCTTTTTTGTAGCAGGAACTTCTTTGCATGTTAGGCCACACACCCCTAATGTAGCCAATCCTAATAAGCTTCTGCTGTTGGGTGTGGCCTATTATGCTAATGAG